CAATATTCCCACTGTTCTTACTGCTTGCTGTATGCTCCACAATATCTGTGAGAGTAAGGGGGAGACATTTATGGTGGGGTGGGAGGTTGAGGCAAATCGCCTGGCTGCTGGTTACGCGCAGCCAGACACCAGGGTGGTTAGAAGAGCACAGGAGGGCACGGTACGCATCAGAGAAGCTTTGAAAACCAGTTTCATGACTGGCCAGGCTACGGTGTGAAAGTTCTGTTTGTTTCTCCTTGATGAAACCCCCCGCCCCTTGGTTCACTCTACTTCCCTGTAAGCTAACCACCCGCCCCTCCTCCCTTCAATCACCGCTTGCAGAGGTAATAAAGTCATTGTTGCTTCACATTCATGCATTCTTTATTCATTCATCACACAAATAGGGGGATGACTACCAAGGTAGCCCAGGAGGGGTGGTGGAGGAGGGAAGGAAAATGCCACACAGCACTTTAAGCATGGCACTTTAAAAGTTTACAACTTTAAAATTTATTGAATGACAGCCTTCTTTTTTTTGGGCAATCCTCTGTGGTGGAGTGGCTGGTTGGCCGGAGGCCCCCCCACCGCGTTCTTGGGCGTCTGGGTGTGGAGGCTATGGAACTTGGGGAGGAGGGCGGTTGGTTACAGAGGGGCTGCAGTGGCAGTCTGTGCTCCAGCTGCCTTTGCTGCAGCTCAACCATACACTGGAGCATACTGGTTTGGTCCTGCAGCAGCCTCAGCATTGAATCCTGCCTCCTCTCATCACGCTGCCGCCACATTTGAGCTTCAGCCCTGTCTTCAGCCCGCCACTTACTCTCTTCAGCCCACCACTTACTCTCTTCAGCCCGCCACCTCTCCTCCCGGTCATTTTGTGCTTTCCTGCACTCTGACATTATTTGCCTCCACGCATTCGTCTGTGCTCTGTCAGTGTGGGAGGACAGCATGAGCTCGGAGAACATTTCATCGCGAGTGCATTTTTTTTTCTTTCTAAGCTTCACTAGCCTCTGGGAAGGAGAAGATCCTGTGATCATTGAAACACATGCAGCTGGTGGAGAAAAAAAAAGGGACAGCGGTATTTAAAAAGACACATTTTATAAAACAGTGGCTACACTCTTTCAGGGTAAACCTTGCTGTTAACATTACATACATAGCACATGTGCTTTCATTACAAGGTCGCATTTTGCCTCCTCCCACCGCGTGACTACCCCCTCAACCTTCCCCCCTCCCCGTGGCTAACAGCGGGGAACATTTCTGTTTAGCCACAGGCAAACAGCCCAGCAGGAATGGGCTCCTCTGAGTGTCCCCTGAAGAAAAGCACCCTATTTCAACCAGGTGACCATGAATTATATCTCACTCTCCTGAGGATAACACAGAGAGATAAAGAACGGATGTTGTTTGAATGCCAGCAAACATACACTGCAATGCTTTGTTCTACAATGATTCCCGAGTACGTGTTACTGGCCTGGAGTGGTAAAGTGTCCTACCATGAAGGACGCAATAAGGCTGCCCTCCCCAGAAACCTTTTGCAAAGGCTTTGGGAGTACATCCAGGAGAGCCGCGAATGCCAGGGCAAAGTAATCCTTTCACATGCTTGCTTTTAAACCATGTATAGTATTTTAAAAGGTGCACTCACCGGAGGTCCCTTCTCCACCTGCTGGGTCCAGGAGGCAGCCTTCGATGGGTTCGGGGGGCTACTGGCTCCAGGTCCAGGGTGAGAAACAGTTCCTGGCTGTCGGGAAAACCGGTTTCTCCGCTTGCTTGCTGTGAGCTATCTACAACCTCCTCCTCCTCATCATCATCTTCTTCGTCCCCAAAATCTGCTTCTGTATTACCTCCATCTCCATTGAAGGAGTCAAACAACACGGCTGGGGTAGTGGTGGCTGAACCCCCTAAAATGGCATGCAGCTCATCATAGAAGCGGCATGTTTGGGGCTCTGACCCAGAGCGGCTGTTCGCCTCTCTGGTTTTCTGGTAGGCTTGCCTCAGCTCCTTCAGTTTCACGCGGCACTGCTTCGGGTCCCTGTTATGGCCTCTGTCCTTCATGCCCTGGGAGATTTTCACAAAGGTTTTGGCATTTTGAAAACTGGAACGGAGATCTGATAGCACGGATTCCTCTCCCCAAACAGCGATCAGATCCCGTACCTCCCGTTCGGTCCATGCTGGAGTTCTTTTGCGATTCTGGGACTCCATCATGGTCACCTGTGCTGATGAGCTCTGCATGGTCACCTGCAGCTTGCCACGCTGGCCAAACAGGAAATGAGATTCAAAAGTTCGCGGTTCTTTTCCTGTCTACCTGGCCAGTGCATCTGAGTTGAGAGTGCTGTCCAGAGCGGTCATAATGGAGCACTCTGGGATAGCTCCCGGAGGCCAATACCATCGAATTGTGTCCACAGTACCCCAAATTCGAGCCAGCAACGTCGATTTAAGCGCTAATCCACTTGTCAGGGGTGGAGTAAGGAAATCGATTTTAAGAGCCCTTTAAGTCGAAATAAAGGGCTTCATTGTGTGGACGGGTGCAGGTTTACATCGATTTAACGCTGCTAAATTCGACCTAAAGTCCTAGTGTAGACCAGGGCTAAGTCTGTTTTCCTTGCTGCTCTGCACAGCCATTAAATATCCCAGGGCCCTTGCCACAGAGGATGAGTTTGTTTCAGTATCGTAGGCCAAAATGTCCCTCTTTACTGTGCCCTCATCCCCCCAACCACCCCAGCTGATGGCCACAAGTGTCTACGCTGAAGCACTATGGTAGAGCCTCTGTAGCCTTTTAAATGTAGACAAGCCCTCAAGCAGATCTTCCAGAAATGCATCCAGTCTGGATCTGCAGACATGAGGAGTTGGAGAATCCATCACTTCTCTTCGCAGATGTCCCAACAGTTAGTCACCCTCAGTGCTAAACTTTTGCCCCTTATTTCCAACTGGAATTTGTCTGGCTTCAGCTTCCAGCCATTGGGCCTTGCTCTGCTGTTCTTGTCTAGATTACAGAGCCTGTTTTTACCCACAGTTTTCTCCCCATGAACTTCTCCTCTTGATCATCTTTTTGAGAAGATAAAGAGATGAAGCATTTAAGTTTTGTGCCATTTTCTCCAGCCTAAAATCATTTTTTGGCTCTTTTCTGTACCCTCTCCAATTTTTCAACACCTTTTTTAAATGTGGACCCCAGGACATTTCACCAATGCAGAGGTAAAATCCTTCCCTTGCCCCCACTCACCACTTCCCTGTTTATGTATCCGAGGATCACATCAGCCCTTTTGGCAAAGCATCACACTTGGAATTCACAATGAGTTAGTTGTCCCTAATGACCCCTAAATCCCTGCGTTCCATAATACAGTGCTCTAGTCTGTGGGTCGGTCCTACATTCCCTGTTCTGAGAGGATAACTTTGCATGTGACTGTATTAAAACATTTTGTTTGCATGAGCCCAACTCACCAAAAGTTCCAGATCAATCAGTATGCCAGCCCTGGCCTCCTCATTGTAACCACTCTGCCAAACTTTGGGTAGTCCACAAATTTTATCTGCAGTAATTTCCTATTTGCTTCCAGATCATTGATGAAAATATTGAATAGCATCAGGCCTAGAACTGATCCCCGCTGAACCCCACTAGAAAAACCCTCATTTGATGACAATAGTCCATTGACGACTGCTTTTTGAGATCTGTCATTTAGTCAGTTTTTAGTCCTTTAAATACGTAATCTACTGATACTGTACAGTGTTCATTTTTTATCTGAATGTTTTCCCCTACTAAATCCAATGCCTCAGAGAAATCAAAGTCTCTTACATCTGCACAGTTCCCTTGATCAACCAAATGTGTACTTTAAAAAAATGAAATTATTTGACAAGACCTGTTTTCCATAAACTATGTTATTGACTGTCATTAATTACATTACTAATTTTTTTTGACTAATCTGATACAACCTTTTCCATTGTTTCCTAACCTTGTCAAATCTTTTTTTTAAGTTCACTTTATTTTTTAATTGTTAAAGTTTAACACAGAACTGTCCTTTATTTGCCTTTTTTGTTGTTGTTGGATTGGTTTTTTGTTTGTTTTTGTTATTTTTATTTTTGGCTCTGCTGCTACCTGATTGTGTACTTCTAGTTTTGAACGAGATGTGTGGTTGATCTGGTAATGTGTGGTTGATCGGTCAGTTCGTAACTCTGGTGTTAACTCTACTGTAGATGCTGTTTAACATTCTCCTTGAGAGCTAATGGATTGGAGACTATTCCATCACCTCAAGTGATATGAGTATCTCCTACTGCTTCTTTCCCAGTGCAGAACAAAAATATTCTGTGAACATATCTACATTTTCTGAGATATTAACAAGTTTCCTTTCTCGCTCTAAGTATTGGCCTAAACCTTCTCTAATATTTCTTTTCTTCTTAATATACTTAATAACCTCCTTTTTGCTATCCTTAGACTTGCCAAGCATGGATTTTTTCCTAATGTCTTTAAAGTCCCTTATCAATGTTCATAACTTCCAATTTGTATTACTTGCTATATATTTTCCTTTTCCCCCATTTCCTATCTATTCCCCTCCCCACAATTGCTGACTTCAGTTTGCCACTGAACTGGGTTTTTAGCCAAAGTTCTCCGCTTCCTTCATTGCGGAATCATGGTTTAAATAACTTCCAATTTCCATTCCCATTTTTCTGTCTACATTTTTTCTTCCTATCAGGTTTGGAACTCTTCTCTGTTTGTCCATTTGAATGTAATCACTTTCATTCTTTTCTTTTGTTCTCTCTATCACATGCCCCCTTCTTTCTCTCTTCTCTAAACTAAACAGTCCCAGATGTGTAGGAATTATTGATGCGTGAAGCACCATAAAAATAGAATTGGCCTTAGTAAGGTCAGTTGTTCATAATTCATTTATCTGAATAATGAAAATGTCATTTTTCAGTTTCTGAAGAGCCACCAATCTGCTTCCCCCATGAGAACAGCCCCCAGTAGTGCATGTAGTCTCTCATATTAACATTGTCTCTCCATCCAGGCATTTGTACTGCGACCATCACACTAGATACATATCGGAAGTCGGGGGAATGTATGGTACACGCAGGAGACACCGTTCTGCCTCAGAGTTCAACACTTTCTCCCATACTCCATGTCAGATGCCAACACAACCGACTTCACCAACCCCTCCACCTTCATCTTGCTGGGCATTCCTGGCCTGGAGGCAGCCCATGTCTGGATCTCCATCCCCTTCTGTGCCTTGTATGTCATAGCCGTCTTGGGGAACTTCACCATCCTGTTCATTGTGAAGATGGAGCCGAGCCTCCATGGGCCCATGTACTATTTCGTCTGCATGCTGGCCGTCGCTGACCTGGGCCTGTCCACGTCCACCCTGCCTAAAATGCTGAGCATCTTCTGGTTCAATTCCAGAGAGATCAATTTTAGTGCCTGCCTCACCCAGATGTACTTCATTCACTGTGTCTCAGTGATGGAGTCTGGGATCTTTGTGGCCATGGCTCTGGATCGCTACGTGGCCATCTGTGATCCCCTGAGACATTCCACCATCCTGACAAACCCAGTGGTAGCCAAGATAGGCCTGGTCGTGGTGCTGCGTGGTGGCATGCTCGTACTGCCCTATCCCTTCCTGGTGAGGCGCTGGCCATATTGCAGAACCAACATCATCCCCCACACGTACTGCGAGCACATGGCCGTGGTGAATTTGGCCTGCGCTGACATCCGTGTCAATAGTTACTACGGCCTTTTTCTGGCCTTCTTTCTGTCCAGTCTGGATGTGTGTTTTATTGCTGTGTCCTATACCCAGATCCTCAGGGCCATCTTCAGCCTCCCCACAAAGGACGCCCGGCTCAAGACTTTTCGGACCTGTGGCTCCCACCTTTTTGTCATCTTAGCCTCTTACATCCCAGCTCTCTTCTCCTTCCTCACACACCGGTTTGGCCACAATGTGCCCCTGCATTTCCACATTCTCATTGCCAACATGTACCTCCTTGTGCCCCCCATGCTGAACCCCATCATCTACGGGGTGAGGACCAAACAGATCCGGGACAGGCTGCTCCGTCTCTTTACTCATAAAGGGACCTAAAGTTTTCTCCTGGTGCTCTGGCTCTCAGACTGAGCTCCGTGCAGAGCTGGCTGGTGTGATGGTGCTGGGCCCTCCTCCCTGAATCACTGACTGAGCAGTCAAAGAGACATTAAATCCTTTCCTGACCTTACTGTGCTGATTCCGCATGACAAACCGGGGAATAGGTCTATGTACTACTCATTGGGTTTCCACCTTTCTAATTGCTGGTAATTGGATCCCTGAGAGACCCCCCCCCCCCCCCGATTGACCTACCCCTTCCACTAACTGTTTATTTAGAAGATAACTTATCAATTAGCTGCCAGGAGCACTGTACCTAGTTTGTATATGAAAGAAAGAAAATTAAATAATTATTAGACCCACTCAGCTATAATACTAACATTTTCTTACATCTTATGGCAAGTCACTTAAGAGCCACTGATTCATTTTAAAGTTTTTATGTATGTTCTTATTTGGTTACTAACTCTGCAGAGAAAGTCCCCATCAGGACTCCTGGGTTCTATCTCAGCTCTGGAAGGGGAGTGGGGTCGAGTGGGTTACAGTGGCAGCAGATACATCTGCAGTCCATATAAGAACATCAGAATGGCCATACTCAGTAATACCTTTGGTCCATCTAGCCCAGTGTCCTATCTTCCGGCAGTGGCCAATACCAGGTGACTCAGAGGGAATGAACAGAACAGGTAACCATCAAATGATCTATCCCTGTCTCCCATTCCCAGCTTCTGGCAGAGAGAGGATAGGGAAACACAGATCATGCTGTTGGATCACCACGCATCCATAGAATCATAGAAGATATGGGTTGGAAGGAACCTCAGGAGGTCATCTAGTCCAACCCCCTGCTCAAAGCAGAATCTAATCTCCAACTAAATCATCCCATCCAGGGCTTTGTCAAGCCGGGCCTTAAAAATCTCTAAGTATGGAGATCCGGCCTAGGTAACTCTGCACTTGTCCTTGTTGAACATCATCAGATTTCTTTTGGCCCAATCCTCTAATTTGTCTAGGTACCTCTGTATCCTATCCCTACCCTCCAGTGTATTTACCTCTCCCCCTAGCTTAGTGCCATCCACAAACTTGCTGAGGGTGCATTTCATCCCATTATCCAGATCATTAATAAAGATGTTGAACAAAACCAGCCCCAGGACCGACCCCTGGGGCACTCCACTTAATATTGGCTGCCAGCTAGACATCGAGCCATTGATCACTACCCGTTGAGCCCAACAATCTAACCAACTTTCTATCCACCTTATGGTCCATTCATCCAATGCATACTTTTTTAACTTGCTGGCAAGAATACTGTGGGAGACCATATCAAAAGCTTTGCTAAAGTCAAGATATATCATGTCCATTGCTTTCCCCTCATCCACAGAGCCAGTAATCTCATCATAGAAGGCAATCAGGTTGGTCAGGCATGACTTGTGCTTGGTGAACCCATGTTGACTGTTCCTGATCAGCTTCTTCTCCTCCAAGTGCTTCAAAATGGTTTCCTTGAGGACCTGCTCAATGATTTTTCCAGGGACTGAGGTGAAGTTGATGGGTGTGTGGTTCCCTGGGTTCTCCTTCTTCCCTTTTCTAACGGTGGGTGATATATATGCCTTTTTTCCATTTATCTGTTTGCTATCCCTTATAATCACTTAAAATCTGTCTTTTGTAGTTAATCAACTTGTTTCTTCTTTGTCTCAGAGCAGTTTGATGGAGTCATAATTTGGGGCAGAAAGCTGTTGTATATTCCTCTCTACATTGAGGGAGTGGGCGAGTTTCATGAACTTATGCTGTACAATTCCCTGTATAATGTTGGGTTTACACTCCAGAGGGGGTGCGTGCCTGTGTAGCTGGAAAGTTCCCAAGCTGGAGCCTTCCCATTCAGGGCTGATCACAGTCTCTGCATGTAACTGCATCTTGGAGTGTCCCTACCTGTATGTGTGCTTGTGAAAGTGCAGACTAGAGAGGGCTTTGCAGCTTGCCACAGAAGTACGGTGTAAAGGGATCCCAGGCTGGTGGGTAAGGGGGGTCAGTGGTATCCCAGTTCCAGATGGCACCCCAAGGGGAACCTGTCACATTGGTGCAGGCAGGAGAGTCATATGCACAGCTTAAGTCTCTGAGTGAGATTGGCACTTCATACACTGTTGATGATTTTAAGTTAGTTTTAAGTATGGTGGCTAGAGATCAGTCAAAGAGGTTACCAGTTTGTTATTTTCTGTTTGCTTATTTAGGACAAGGGAAGTAGGGACAGAAAAGCAGGAAAAAGAGTGAAAGTGAAACTAGTAAGAAGCTGGAGTTCTGCAGATTGCAGACAGAAGAGAAGGAGAAGGAACACAAAAGACATATGGAATTACAGTGACTGCAGACTGAAGCAGAGAATACCAGAAAAGAAGCTGCACACCAGAGATCTATGGAAGCAGAGGATGCTGGGAAAAAAGCTGCACACTGAAGAGCCATGGAACTGAAACAGAAGCTGAGAAAAAAAATGAGCCCTGGAAGCTAGCTGTGGAGGAAAGGGAGAAAGAAAGGAAGCATGAATTGGACTTGATAGAGAAGTGTAACCAGAGCCCCCACACACCAGGGAGTCCCACCTCTCCAAAAATCCACAAATGGGAATGGTTGTGTCCTGCATTCAGGGAGACAAGGGACATTACTGAATATTTCATCACCTTTGAGAGGCTGTGTGTACTCCATGAGATCCCTGAAGACTAAAAGATGGCCACTTATGTTGGCACAGTTGTCCTCAGCCCCAAAGCCCCAGAGGGTACCCCCACAACTTACCACACCTGCTTGGTGGATACAGGGGCTGGTGAAACAGACAGGAAACACGTTAAGGTTGTTAAGATTAATCGCACAGAGTGCCTTGGGTGGATGATACTGGGGCCCATATCTCTCTGGTTTGACCAAGTGTGGTCCCAGAGGCTAATATTTTACCAGGCCAAATGGCCAAGATTAAGGGAGAGGGTCTGAACAGGTTCCACATGCCACTAGCAAAAAATCATGTGAAGTGGGAAGGTTTGGAAAGTGATTTAATGGTAAGAATGCTAGAGGACCTCCCAGTGGGCATGTTGGTAGGGAATGATTTTTTTCCACAAGGCCAAGACTGTTGGGGTGGTAACTCACAGGAAGAAGAAGTGTTGTGTAGGGTCCTCAAAGGGGTAAGAGTGTGTATTGCCTGTCAGTGAGAAGGATATTCCAGCTGGTAGCTGCAGGTCTGTCTCAGCTAAACCAGGAATAGATCCTGTTCTAGAGAGCATGGAAGTGTGTGTCTCAGAGGGAGCCTGGGGAATGGTGATGGAACCTTAGAAACCACTGGGGAGGTGAATGAGGGTTCTCTTGACATGGTAATGAAGGGGGGAAGCATGCTCCCAAGGTGGGGAGAGGCAGAGTCAGGCCTCTGCCCAACCAAAGGCAACATGTCCCTAGGGCCAGGGGCAGGGAGGATGTTGTCAGTAACTGAGGATGTTGTCCCAAGTACTAGCTGTCAGGAATTTGCACATAAGCAAACGGCAGACCACACTGTAGAAAGCATAAGGAAATGTGTCCTAGAGGGAATTCCAGGAAGGGAGTGGGGTGAGAAGTTTTTTTGAAGAGGATGGGAAGCTGTATGGAGAAGCTCCTGTAGGAGGACCAGAGGCCCTGGGCAATGCTAGAAGCAGTTGGTTGTACTCAGCCAGCACCGTGGGGAATTGATGCTGGTAGCTCATCACGGTCTTTTTGCTGGTCACTTGGGGGTTCAGAGGGCTTATGACAGGCTAAAGAGGAATTTCTACTGGCAAGGAATACAGAATGATGTGGGGGATTATTGCAGGTCTTGTCTAATGTGTCAAGAGAGGAAAAGACCTATAGGATCCCAGAAAGCTCCCCTGTGTGGCCCTCGATGGCTGAATGCCAAGGTGGTTCAACTCTGAAAAGCATTGAAATCTGTAGAGAGTTAAAAGCCATCAAAAGGGGGGAGGTGTTATCACTTCTGTGAGGTGTTTTCCAACAAGCCAGGGAAAACACACTTGGTGTCCCATAAAGTCCTCACAAAAGGGACACAACCTCCTCTTCCAGGCTTTACAGGGCCACTGGCAAGGGGAAAGAGCAAATTTGTACAAAGATACAAAACACGTTGGACCAGGGAGTAATTAAGGAATCTGATAGCTTGTGGCAGCCCTGTGGTCTTGGTCCCCAAAAGGGACAGCACTGTAAAATTTTGTGTGGACTATAGAAAACAATCACATTACAGCCGATTCTTTGATGGCATTAGATTTGAAGCAGAGGAATTTTGGACTGATATGTTTGAAGGACTGGACAAGAATTTATTAGCAATTATGACATTCTATACCTTGGGTGAGCGTCCTGAATCCTCCATATTCCTCATTTTTATATAAGCATGATCTTACATATAAAGAATGACTTGTAGGGTATGAGGAGAAAGGTTATGATATGCTGAGAGTCATTTCTCTATCCATATGTATATCGTTAATGCAAATATAGTTATGAGAATTGTGTTGTATGGTTGTCACTAAAACATGACATAAATTGGGGAATCAGACAGATATTAGCTCCCCCAGAGGCAACAGCAAGGAAAGTAACCAATGCCTGGGTGAGGTGTCAAACAATTCATCAACAACCATTGTCCAGCAAGGGAGCTACAATTCAATGACTCACCTGCATGAGGCCACACCCGGAGAATTGCTCAACCTTGCCTGGTGGACTCAGCAATGTCCCCCAGACATGCCTGGACTTGTGCTCCCCAAGCACATGGGACTGAGGATATAAAACAGAATACAGTTGCCACATGCTGGGCCTTTCTCCTTCATAGAATCATAGAATCATAGAATATCAGGGTTGGAAGGGACCTCAGGAGGTCATCTAGTCCAACCCCCTGCTCAAAAGCAGGACCCATACCCAATTAAATCATCCCAGCCAGGGCTTTGTCAAGCCTGACCTTAAAAACTTCTAAGGAAGGAGATTCCACCACCTCCCTAGGCAACGCATTCCAGTGTTTCACCACCCTCCTAGTGAAAAAGATTTTC